TCCTATCCTATCCTATCCCATTCCATTCTATTTCTCTATTCCTATTCCTATTCTGTACTATTCTATTCTAATTCTCATTCTCTGTTCTATTCTAATTCTCCACTCCATTCTATTCTAATTCTTCTATTCTGTTCTGTTCTGTTCTGTTCTGTTCCGTTCTGTTCCGTTCTGTTCCGTTCTGTTCCGTTCTATTCCGTTCTGTTCCGTTCCATTCCAATTCCAATTCCAATTCCAATTCCAATTCCAATTCCAATTCTAATTCTAATTCTAATCTTCTTTTCTTTTCTATTCTATTTCTCTATTTTATTCTAATTCTCTATCCTATTCCAATTCCAATTCCAATTCCACTCCATTCCATTCTATATTCTTCTCAGAAGAATGCAGCATATCTGACGCCACCCGTCTGGACCCTTGTGTGGCTCTGTGTGTGTGTGTGTGCGCACGCACGCGCATGCACACATCTGTGCATTTTAAGGCCCTCTCCCACCCGTCACTGACCGGGCACGGAGGTACCCAGCGCCACGAACACCACCGCCGTGACCGAGTCCTTGAGGCCGATGGTGCAGCCGAAGTGAGAGGCCAGGTCCCCAGTGAGGGCGGTGAGCACCCCGATAAGGCAGATTGAGACCAGGAAGCAAGCCCAGCCACACCAATACTCGGTGGGCGGCACGAAGGCGAAGAGAACTTTCCAGAAGACGGTGAGGAAATGCATGATGTAGTCGAAGCAGGAAGGAAGGCGGTCCTCGCCCGAGTCATCGTCTTCATCGTCACCTGTCGGGGGGGGGGGTCATAAAAACACGGATTCAGCCTCTCTCGGGAACAGGAACAAGAGTTGGGAGGGATCTTGGAGGTCATCTAGTCCAACCCCCCCCTGCTCTTGTGTATGGTCTATACTGTTTCTAATAAATGGGCATCCGGTCTCTTTTTAAAAGCCTCCAGTGATGAGGCACCCACAACTTCCACAGTAACAAGAGTTGGGAGGGAATTTGGAGGTCATCTAGTCCAACCCCACCCCCCACCCCGCTCTTGCGCGAGACCCTATTTCTGATAAATGGCCATCCAGTCTCTTTTTAAAAGCCTCCGGTAATGAGGCACCCACAATTTCCCCGAGGCAATTTGTTCCAAACGAATTCTTGTACTTGACAGACAGGAATTCCTTCTACCTTGTTTTTTTTTACCCACAACTCTGTTCACACAACGAAGTTGGGACAAATCCCGCCTTTGTTTTGACTCCCAACAAGCTACCTCAGCCTCGTGTTAACTTGGGTTAGTTTTCAGATGCTGGGTCTTTTGTAAAAGGCAGGATTTTGGGTTATTGGGAGTTTTGCCGGGGCTGAGTACACGCTGGACGGCTACATCAATCAATGTCATCGTGGTCTGATTAGATTCCAGACGTTGCTGTCAAAGCACATCCTTGAAGGAAAGTTATTTATTGCTCAAATGGCAATTAATGTTAACCCATATAGTGTGGCTGAAGCATTACTTGTCTTATTATCTTCTATGCTTCCCCCTTCTATTGGTATTATTATTGTTATTATAAACTTTTATTCATTAAACATGAAACTCAGTCCATTGAACATTTAAAAGTGTATCACAAATATTGACTGGCTTTGATGGTTGAGACGGGTTGATAGGGATTGCTAATAATAATTAATAAAAATCTTTCATTCATTAAACATGAAACTCAAGTCAACTGAACATTTAAAAGTGTATCAC